CCTGGTCTAACTTTACAGTTACATGCATTTGGTATGAAGGTAAAAAAAATCATATAAAGCACATTCCTTATCATCTCTGCACTGTCTTCCTAGAGTAGGTTTGGGTATAAGCAAATAAACTACCCTTGAAATGAAAGAAAGCACAGGGAGGTGCTTGCCTTTAAAAAAGGTAGTAGTTACTCTATAATAAAGTTCCATTGTTCCCTTATATAGTAACTTTACATAAAGAGATGCATCTGTATTATATTTATGTATTACCTTTTTATCAATTATAAAGTATATCTTCCTTTTGATTTCCTTTTAGATCTACTTCAAACCTGCTGTTCTTTTGTCTGTGATTCCTATGGGGATAGAACTCAAGTGTCCTAACAGTAATAAGCTGCCTAAAAAATTCTAAACTATCTCATACTGTGATTCCTGAGTCCCTCTGCCCATCTGAATGGCCCCTTTCACCTCCCCTGCCCCTCCATTAATGTTTTCCTGTTGGTTTGTCAAAGGCTGTGGGGAAATACTTATTACATGAGTAATTATGCTATTTTCTCCCCCTGAGCAGCTGGAAAGATTAAGGAGATCAGATGTCATCTTTAAGTAACACAGGAAGTCTAGCAAGCAGAGCTCAGCCAAGGGATGGCAAATATAAGGGCTCTTAGATTGAGGATTTGTTTGGGGCTTTAAAATCTAGTTTTATTTGGCACAGTTCTCCCCTCTGTACTTAGAAATGTGAAAGCCTGGGGGAAAATAACCAGTACAGTGCACAGACCATTCACCTTGTGTTTTATGATTTTCTCCATGTCTTCAGAGCTCTAAATAAAATGTATTATTTAAATAAGCAAATAATGTATTTTTTATGGTCCTAAATCAGAAGAGGTAAGAACATTTGGCTGGTCATCGGGAGAGACAATAGGGATAGGGCTAATCAAATTCAAGAGGCATTTCTTGTGCAAGTCCTATATGGAAGGCCACATGAAAGCAGAGGCCAAGGGAGGAGAAATCTGCAGTGAGAAGTGGTGGTAAAGCCATCCAGGCTTAGCAAGGATGAAGACTGAGAGGAAACGTTTTTGACTTGGCAAAAAATGGAGACTCTGAGAACCTCAGGAGAGCTTCAATAGAACTGTAAAAGGTTACAAATGTACCAATGAGTGGGTCCATAGAGTGCCACCAGCAGTGAAGAGCCAACAATGCGCAATAAAGGAAAGAGTTTATCCAGTGTGCAGGTGACCTGAAAGAGGCTGGAGTACACTGCTCCCATCCTAAGCCTACCGAACAACCTTCCCCAGCTGATTCTTACGGTCGGAGAACCACTGAAGAAAAAAAAAATCACAAAAAGGGGTTTTTAAGAAACTTCTCATTCTTCTGACTTTACTATCAGATCAACTTATTTGCTTCACAAATGAAATGGTATTGTTCTCAATAGCCTGCAGCAGTAGAGTACTGCCTGAGTTTAAATCCCAGCTTCATCACTTAATACTTGGGTGAGCTACATAACATTTCTGGGCCCTAGTTTCCTCATTTATAAAGTGGGAATAACAGTATCTATTCTGTTGACTTGATACAAGGATTAAATGAGACTTTAGGTAAAGCATTTAGCACTGTATGTGGAACATAAATGTTCAGTAAAACATTAGCTATTTTCTTCATCAGGTTTCTTTATAAAGTCAATGTCTAACCAAAAAAAATTCTAGTAGCCAATTACAATCATACATCTCTAAACGACCCCCTCAGAGTAACAAACAGAAGTCACTCACAACATCTGAGAAGCATACAAACTGGTAGAAACAGCAGAAGTCAGACAGCAAGATGGACTAGTAAGCATCATTTAGCACCCTAGGGTACCCAGAAGAACTATACAAAAAGATCTTAATGACCCAGATAACCACGATTGTGTGATCACTCACCTAGAGCCAGACATCCTGGAGTCCGAAGTCAAGCGGGCCTTAGGAAACATCACTACAAACAAAGCTAGCAGAGGTGATGGAATTCCAGCTGAGCAACTGCAAATCCTAAAGGATGATGCTGTGAAAGTGCTGCACTCAAAATGCCAGCAAATTTGGAAAACTCAGCAGTGGCCACAGGACTGGAAAAGGTCAATTTTCATTCCAGTGCCAAAGAAAGGCAACGTCAAAGAATGTTCAAACTACCGCACAATGGCACTCATTTCACACGCTAGCAAAGTAATACTCAAAATTCTCCAAGCTGGGCTTCAACAGTACATGAACTGAGAACTTCCAGATGTTGAAGCTGGATTTAGAAAAGGCAGAGGAACCAGAGATCCACTGGATCATAGAAAAAGAGAATTCCCAAAAAACATCTACTTCTGCTTCAGAGTATTCTAAATATCTTTGATTGTGTGGATCACATCAAACTGTGGAAAATTCTTCAAGATATGGGAATACCAGACCACCTGACCTGCCTCCTGAGAAACCTATAATGCAGGTCAAGAAGCAACAGTTAGAACTGGACATGGAACAATGGACTGGCTCCAAATTGGGAAAGGAGTACATCAAAGGTATATACTGTCACCCTGCCTGTATAACTTATATACAGAGTACATCATGTGAAATGCCAGGTTGAATGATTCCACAAGCTGGAATCAAGATTGCCAGGAGAAATATGAATAACCTCAGATACGCAGATGACCACCCTAGTGGCAGAAAGCTAAGAGGAACTAAAGAGCCTCTTGATGAAAGTGAAAGAGGAGAATGAAAAAGTTGGCTTAAAGCTCAACATTTAAAAAAAGAAGATCATAGCATCTGGTTCCATCACTTCATGGCAAATAGATGGGGAAACAATGGAAACAGTGGCAGACTTTATTTTCTTGGGCTCCAAAATCACTGCAGATGGTGACTGCAGCCATGAAATTAAAAGATGCTTGCTCCTTGGAAGAAAAGCTATGACCAACCTAGACAGCATATTATAAAGCAGAGACATTACTTTGCCTACAAAGGTCCATCTAGTCAAAGCTATGGTTTTTTCAGTAGTCATGTAGGGATGTGAGAGTTGGGCCATAAAGAAGGCTGAGTGCCAAAGAATTGATGCTTTTGAACTGTGGTGTTGGAGAAGACTCTGGAGAGTCCCTTGGACTGCAAGGAGATCCAACCAGTCAATTCTAAAGAAATCAGTCCTGAATATTCATTAGAAGGACTGATGCTGAAACTGAAACTCCAGTACTTTGGCCAACTGATGTGAAGAACTGACTCATTGGAAAAGACCCTGATGCTGGGAAAGATTGAAGGCGAGAGGAGAAGGGGACAACAGAGGATGACATGGTTGGATGGCGTCACTGACTCAACAGACATGAGTCTGAGCAAGCTCCAGGAGATGGGGAAGGACAGGTAAGCCTGGCGTGCTGAGGTCCATGAGGGTGCAAAGAGTCAGACACGACTGACTGACTGAACAACAACAGGGTACCAGCTGGCTGTGCCCGAATGAATTCCCTGTATTTTCATCAAGCAATCCAGGTCCAAATAAGTAATAGGTCAGTTCTTCATTCGGCTATCCCTCGTTTACATTAAAGCAAGAATCAAGGAAATCACTCTAGCAGTTTTACTCACTGACTACTGCAATTTTTGTTTCTGCTACCATGAAAAGATTTTTTTTTCTGGCTGCACTAGGTCATCACTCCCATTACCACCTGAGCTCCGCCTCCTGTCTGGTCAGTGGCAGCATTTGATTCTCGTAGAAGTGCAAAACTTATTGTGAACTGTGCATCTGAATGATATAGGCTGCACGCTCCTTATGAGAATCATCCAGAAACTACCCTCAGCCCCCTCACTCTGCCAAGGTCTGTGGGAAAATTGTCCTCTATGAAACTGGTCCCTGGTGCCGAAAAGGTTGGGGACTGCTTAGTATATAAGCACATGCCAAATAAAATGTCATTTGAACTAACAAAAGGAGTTTCAGAGTTGTGAGTCTAAATTTTTGGTTTTTTTTTTTTTAATTATAAAAACTTCTGAAATGTTATTACATACTCAAGAAGAAAAAAAACAAAAATTTGTCTAAAGCACAGAGATAACAAAAAGTACAGGATCATGCTGATGAGGTTCTAAGCTGCTCTGGCTTGACTGACGCTTCCTAAGGGTGGCTAGGAACCCAGGATTCTCAGCAGAGGTCTCAGTGAGTGAAACATTTATCAACTGATACTGAAATTATCAACAGTATTTTACTTGTTCTACTCAATGCTGAGATAAAGCCTGAAGTCTGTAATTTTACCAAATACTCATTAAAATCCAAATATAATACTGGCTAATTCAAAACCTTAAGCTTATTTCCTTTATCACTGCTGCTCCCTTTCAAGTTCTCAATTTAAAATTTCCCAGGCAGCCTTCATTCTTAAATGTATCCACCACAAAACTATCAGTTATACAACCACTAAGATTTCTCTAAAGTAAGAATTGTGAAAAGAAGAAGGGAGTGAGTATCTAGCTTCCTTATCTTTGTATTTCTATGGCTGTCTGCTAGGATGGGAACTCCAAGAAGATCCAGTTTCAGCATTCCTAAGGTCAGCAGAGAGAATACTTGGTAAACGCAACTGTGCACAATTCTTGTAATAGTAGCCTGAACCTTATGAAATTACATGTGTATGTCAAAAAAGTTGACTATCTATTGGCAATTTCATATATGGCTCAACACAGGTCAATGCCTTTTTTTTTTTTTTAATTAAGAAGAACATTCTGTCCCTTTGAGACACTGCAGAATCACTCTCAAGGACTCTCTCCTTAACTCTCTCAATGAATATACTTAATGTGAATCATTTTTCCCCCAGAACCAGAATTTAAGCGATTAGTTTTCACTTATTTGCATTAAAATGCCAAAGCCAGAAGCAAAACCAAGAAGTGTTATAACAGCCAACCAAAGAATAAACATCAGAATTATCCTGTTCAACTCAATTCCTGTTAAAGTCATGTTTCTCTTCAAAGAAGCAATAAATTCTGGTCCCAATACCCAGAACAATGCGCCTTCCACCTCCAACAGAAATCAATCCCATTTTGAGAGCATCTTACCTGAAACTACCATAGACTATAAGTAGAATGGAAATCAGAAAAGTAGACACTTGACTGGAATCCACCAGGGAATAGGCCCTAGAGAAAAAAAGGGGAAAAAAAATTTAATCACATGGCAGCAAACTAATGGAGTTTACAGTCTAATGGAGTTCTATAAAGTCCACCAAGTTTTATTTTTGTCTAAGAAGGAAAAAAGGTATAAATTGGCATGAAGAAAATATTAATTGAAACACAGATCTGGTAGTTTAGCATAAAAAGTAAATGTACAGATTCAGAGTTTTTATTAGTTAGCCTTCACTGGGGATTCAATGGTATCAATGTAAAAATCCCGTCTCGGTATAATACACACATGTGCTTCCACTCCCAAGTACCAAAATATCTACCAACTCCTTCCTTGTGAATTACCAGTAATAAAGTAAAGCTCATGTCTCTCCTGGATTCTAGTTTCATTTTTTTTTTAACTGCCTATTGGTTCTCTTCATGTGGGTATCCCACAGAGGGTTCTTGAAAGTCAAAAGGTTGAAAACTTACGTCGTTGTTCTTCCCTTCATACCTGACCCTCTCAAGGCATATCATGATTCCTTCAGCATTCCTGACACCCTCTTCCTTCCTTCCCACATTATGACAGCAGTCAGAAAGTCCCACAACTTCCACTTCCCCAAATAACCTCCCTTTCACGGATCACAGCCCTGTGATGAAGGGGCCTGTGTAACTCAGTGAAGCTAAGAGCCATGCTGTGCAGGGCCACCCAGGATGGACGGGTCATAGTGAAGAGTACTGCCAAAATGTGGTCCACTGGAGGAGGCAATGGCAACCCACTCCACAGTATTCTTGCCAAGAGAACCCCACAAATTATATGAGAAGGCAAAATGATATGACACCAGAAGATGAGCCCCCCAGGTTGGAAGGTGTCCAGTATGCTACTGGGAAGAGCAGGGGGGTAATTACTAATAGCTCCAGAAAGAATGAAGCAGCTGGGCCAAAATGTAAATGATGCTCAGTTGTGCATGAGTCTGGTGGTGAAAGTAAAGTCAGTGCTGCAAAGAACAATATTGCCTAGGACATGAATTTGAGCAAACTCCAGGAGACAATGAAGGACAGGGAAGCCTGGCATGCTGCAGTCCACGGGGTCACAAAGAGTTGGACACAACTAAGCGACTGAACAAAAAAAATAAATACCCTATTTCTCTTAACTGTAATGCCAATTCCTTAGCTCCCTTCTATGGCTTGACTGTCAGAGCAAAAAAAAATTTCTTTTTGGCCACACCATGTGGCATGCAGGATCTTAGTTCCCCAACCAGGATTCAAGGCTGGATGCCCTGCAGTGAAAGCTCGGAGTCCTAACCACTGGAATGCCAGGCAAGTCCCAATGCTTTCAAGTCTGTCTTCAGAAATTCACCCTTCCGAGTACCCATTCATGTTAGGGATTTTCCCAGAACAAAATTTTTCTTCCTCTTTTCATTCATCAAATATTTAATGATTCTGTGCCTGGCACTCTGCCAGTCCCCAGGGATGGAATAAAAAATAAGGTTGTCTTGGTCCTGTCTCTTAATGTCTTTTAAAAGGAATTTAAAAATTAAAGTTTGGTCTAAAGGAATGAAAACAAAAAGCTAACATAAGCAAGTGAATGTAACTGCTGAAGATGTTATAAAGGGGAGGAAGACAAGTGCAGGATACCCTGAGAATGTGTAACAGGTGGAGCCTACCCAAGTGGGGGTGGGGGGCTTCCTTAGGGAGGTAGATGAGAGACACTAGACTCAATAAAATAGGATTTGGTGACTGTTTAGGAGAGCTAAGAGAGGACCCCAGGTTTCTGCTAAGCAGCTGGTGGATGGCTGCACCATCTGGCCAAAAAGGAAACAACAATAGGAGGAGCAGAGTCAAGTTCCCAATGTGCCGAGGAGCAGCTGGCTCTCTGGGTCCAGAGTTCAGAAGCAGCTCTACGCTAAGGACACAGACCGGGAGCTCATGACCCTTCACATGGCAACTGAAGCCACGGGTGTACGCAAGAGGAGGACCCAGGATGAAAGCCCGAAAAGCCAGAAATCTAAAGATCAGGAAGAAGGAGGAGCTGCAAAGAAAACATGGTAAGACTGAGACAGAGGAAGACGACCCAGGATAGTAAGGTGAAGTGCTTCCAAACAGGCATCAGATGAGATGGTGCCTGAACTTAAAACTGCTCTACCCCTGACCCGCAGCTGACCTCTCTAAGGTTAGTTAACCTTAGAGAGTTAACCTCTCTAAGGTTAGTTAACCTTAGAGAGTTAACCTCTCTAAGGTTAGTTAACCTTAGAGAGTTAACCTCTCTAAGCTTTAACTAGTTCCCATCTGTAAAATGAGGATAATGACAACACCTCACTCAAAGAGCTGTCAAAGGATTAAATGAAGCTTTCCCTGGTGGATCAGTGGTAAAGAATCCGCCTGCCAACGCAGGAGACGTGGGTTTGATCCCTGGCCGGGAAGATCCCACATGCTGTGTGGCAATTAAGCCTGTGCCACAACTACTGAGCCTGGGTCTAGATCCCGAGAGACACAGCTAATGAAGCCCTGGCGCCCTAGAGCCCATGCTCTGCAACGAGAGAGGCCACTGCATTGAGAAGTCCGCGCACCGCAAGGGAGAGCAGGCTCTGCCTGCCACAACCAGAGGGAGCCCGCACAGCAACCAAGACCCTGCTAAGCCCAAAATAAACAAACAAATACAATTTTACAGAATTAAGATTAAGACAAAGTTTTACATTAGTAAAACAAATTGCTTAAAAAAAGAATGAAATGAGAATTCACACACAGAGCTGAACCCAGTAATTACTCAGTGTTCACTGCTTGTATTAGGAGGGAGAGGTCGTGAGTGCTGAAGGTGGATGAGATGTCAAGTGAGATGAAAACTGCAGAGTCACTGGGTTTATTTAATGTGTGAGTCACTGATGACTTTAGCAAGAACAGCTTTAATGGAGTGAGCGGTGTGGACAGGAGTCAGGTTGGAACTGGCTGAGAAGTTAAAGGCAAGGAAATGGAGATAGCTTTTTGAAAAGTACAGTTTCAAAGGAAATAGCAGCTAGAGGGGAATGTAAGGTAAGGGAAGTCTTATTTTTAAAGACAGGAGATACTCAACCTTTCTTGTATGTTGACTGGAAATTATACCAGTGAAGAGGAAAAGACGGATGAACACAGAGAAGGATAAGTTTCCTTTAACCTTTCTAAAAAAACCCAGGACATAAAATGAAGTTTCATAGTAAGACACTGTGGCCTATACTGTCAAATTTTTTTCTATTTAGTTATTAAAGATACATGCTGAAGTATTTCTGGGTAAAATGATATAAGGCTTGCTTTAAAATATTCCAGGAATAAGAAAAGGCAGGAAGGATAGTTGTGTTTTTTTTTTTTTTAAGGTGAGATTGTTTTTAATTATTGAAACTAGAATGACAGGTATATGGGGGTTCCTTATACTCTTCTGCTTTTGCATATTTTCTGAAAACCTCCACACACACACACAAAGGAAATGTTCTTTTCTACAGCAGTCTTTGAGAAGGTGAGACAATGAAAAACATGAGAGGTGAATGAATACAGCCATTTATTTTCTGGGTCGCGAGTTCTGTCCCACAGCACCCCACAGTGGGCACCCACAATTTCCTAAAATTTCAGTCAGCAAAGGGGATGCAAGATGCAGCAGACAGTGGACGGCCGCTCTAGTCCCTTCGTTAGCTTCTGTCCAGCTATCAGCTCTCTTACCCACTAAGAGATACCTGGAACAGTACATTTCCTATATTAGGAAAACTGATTTCAATTTCTCTTTACTCTAAAGTTATCTCTTGCTCTGCCATAATCTTTGCACACATCTTTCAAAATTCTCAAAACAAATGACTTCTCTTTAGAGGGAGTGTTTTCCAGAAGTTAAAAAATATCTTCGGGGAGAACAGGTCATATGCTCACATGGCACAAAAATCAAAACTATGTATAGTACACATTGATAAGTCTCACTTCCACCTCACCTCCTCCCCCATATCCTCTTTACATAACCACTTTTATCAGTTTCTTCAGGAGCCCTCTAAAACATGTAATATAAACATACTTCTTACCATTTCTTCACACAAAAGAAAGGCCATTAAACACACTACTCTGTACTCCCCCACCTTTACCATACAGCCTAGAGATCTTTCCATATCAGTACACAGAGATCTTTATTTTTATTTTCTTTAAACATCTGCATAGTATTCCACTGTGTGGACATACCACATTTTTTGTTTTTTTCAAAAAGCAAATCCCTTTTGTTTCTAAAAATTCTGCTACAATTCTGTTATAAAGAGTTTTGTAAGTTATACTCACAGTCACACACAAGAAATAACACATCTACAGAGAATAAAGTTCCTGAAAATAAGGTTGTGGGATGGAGGAGGAAATGCAGCGTGATAAATGTGGTCAAGCTGCCCACCAGAGAGGTTTTATCCATTTTGCACTATGACCAGTAACAGACCAGCGTCTCTGTTTTCCAAAGTCTTGTCAACAGTGAGTGTTGTCCAACGTTTGAATTTTTTTTTAACCAATCTAACAGATGAAGATTCATATTTCAATATGGTTTTCATTTGTGTTAATTATTTTTGTGATGCAATTAATTTCAAAGTGAATTAAAGTGAGATTGAGTAGCTTTTCATATGATTAAGAGCCTGATCTATAAAGCATGAAATGAGTGTGTGTGTGTGTGTGTGTGTGTGTTGGAGGAGGACTTGACTTTTCTTTTGCTAGTGTTTTACTTGGATGACTTTTTTTGTACCCTTCACATTCTGAAGCATATTGTCATTCCCTAAAAGGTAGATTAAATGTTTAAACTTGTCAAACTCCATGTCTTAAGTCTGATACTATTGTTTCCTTGCTATAACTGTCAAATCAATACAGACTCTCCAGAGACATCATCACTTAAGGCTTCTATAAGTCTGGGTTGAAGTTTTGTTAAACCAGCCTTCCCTCCTCCACAGATCCCCTGTGCTCTGCTCTGTGTGACTAACTATACTGAGTCACTGATGTTCTTCACAATCTGTTTTTCAAGGTGAAGTCTTGGCCATGTGCAAAATATCTTATGAAGAGGC